CTATAATGTTGTCTTAATACTACTCTATTGTTGTAATATTATGCAGTTTAGTGTCAATAATTGTATTGGCAATGTGGCCTCTTTCTGCAGACATAAAAACCAACCCCTGGCACCAACCTTGGCTACAGCTCCATTGGTCTGATTCTCAATGTCATGGACTTTCATGTGGGAGAACAGGGTTCAAAACCCAGCTAACGCAACTTTAACAGAAAATCTCTACAAACTTCATATTGTCACACAATTACCCTCGTTACGAACACCTGCTGACTTGACAAGCACAAGCTGGTGTAGAAAACATATTTGTACTTGGTCACAGTTCATTATGCAAGTCCACTGCTGCAGGCAAAGCCATGCTGCAGTGATATGCTACATGGCAATGCACACTTGTTTTTACATTGTAAAAACCCATGTCTAGTTTCTTTTGTTTTTTGTCCTCAGGTTCAACCTCAACAACAACCTGAAGAGGCACCTGCGCATTCACACGGGAGAGAAACCGTTCACCTGTCAGGACTGCAACCAGAGCTTCTCGGACAACAACAAGCTCAAGTCCCACATGCTGATCCACGGCGCCAGGAAGCCGTTCATGTGCGACCTCTGCGGGAAGACCTTCCTCTTCAACTGCCGGCTGCAGATCCACCAGCGCTACGTGCACGCCGACAAGTCCCAGGACCCCGACGCTCTGCTCCAGACCAGGCGGCAGAGCAAGTCGCTGGTGAAACCCTTCAGCTGCAAGGTCTGCCTGAAGGGTTTCAGCGCCGCCTGCTCCCTGAAGATCCACGAGAAGGGCCACAGCGAGCACAAGGAGTTCCAGTGCGGCATCTGCGGCAAGGCCTTCCACAACAAGTACTCCTTCAGCTACCACCAGCGCAGCCACTCGGGCGAGAAGCCCTTCGTCTGCGACGTGTGCGGGAAGCGCTTCTTCCACGCCGCCAGCCTGAAGCAGCACGAGCGCATCCACACGGGCGAGAAGCCGTACAAGTGCGAGCAGTGCGGCAAGGCCTTCCGCACGGACGGGAACTTCTACCGGCACGTGCGCATCCACACCGGGGAGAAGCCCTTCCAGTGCACGTTCTGCCAGAAGAAGTTCCACCAGTCCAACCAGCTCAAGTCCCACCTGCAGATCCACACGGGCCAGAAGCTGTACTCGTGTCAGCAGTGTGGGCGGGGCTTCTCCGACTCAAGGCAGTACAAGAAGCACAGCTGCGACGCCTCGTAAGGACGACGAACTGAGCTCATTGCAATGAAAGGAAAAAAAACATAAAATAAAAATATAGGCTCAATATTTTTCTAATAGTAATGGTTACATGTCTCAAAATGAAAAATCTGTAGGAAATTTTGTCTCAGATTTGTTAAATAAAACATGCAGATAAGTTAAAAATGGTGAAGTAGAAGTTTTGCAGCTAAACTCTTTTGAATGAGTAGCTTTAAATTTACAGCCTCGCTCAAAGTAAGCGACTCAAAAACAAGTTGGCTTGTTTAGCCGATGTGCTAAATTATCAAGATGTCCGATTTAAAAACAGGAGTTTTCGCTGTCATTAAAACAAACTAAAAAAGTTTCATGTTCATTTCTGTTACTCGTCATTCTTGTTGTGTAACGGATTTAATGTTTAATAAGAGGAGCGTTTGCAGCTAATGTCAGCTGAGGTTTGCTTTTTGTTTGTTTCTCAAACCTGTAAGAAAAATCTATTTTGCTCATCCTGAAATCTGTAGTTATTTTTAAAAAATGCGACCAAAGCATAAACAAAACTATTTAAAATTAATTCATTATTTGTAGATGTGTTTTAGAGGCAGGATTTTGTTCTGAAATGATTTGATGCTGAATTTTATTTTAGATTTAGTTTTTGTGCTTTAATCCCACCGAATTCCATTAATAATTTTTTTTCGAACAGAAATTAAAATAAAGTTCATATTTTATATGATTTTCTGTATATTTTTCCTCTTATTTTGTAATTAAAAAACGTTCGGTGGAGAGGAGCAACTGTGACTTTTATTTTGAAAAGTTCACACTGGTAATTCCGTTTCCGGAGCAAATGAAAGGCGATTTTGTTTGTTTTTAGAAATTAAACCTTAAAATGTCAGGAAGTTCCGTGTTTTGCTCAGAAATAAAATCTGTTTTGAAGACGCTCGTAGAGGCAGCGGTCGATGTGACCGGAGGTTCCGATGAAGAAAAGAAGCTAACATTGGACCGCAGGGTGAGTTAGCTCCTTTGATCGGTTTTGAACAGAAAACCAGGTTCATTAACTGGATCAGAGACTGTAAATAAAGGAGATTGACCCCACGGAATGAAGCCTCGAGCGGAGCGACGTGAAACAAACATGGCGGACGCATCAATGTGACAAAACGTTAGAAATCATGTTATTGACTCATACATGTTACTGTAAAGTTTGTATTTATATTTTAATCATAAATTTACTTTATTAAAATAATAATAATGTACTGACTTTCATTATTTTGTGACTATCTTTGATACAATGAGGTACACCGTATATACGTATGTTCATTGTTTTGGTCAGCTTCAGCTACTTTTAAAGAATAGTACACTACGCCAATGGCGTATGTTACGGAGCATTAAACATTGCGATAAATCTAAATTTATGTGCAAAATTGCTTAATTTTGTGGCCAAAATTACAATATTGTTAGTGTTGACACTATTGTTGCTTTTTAACAAACGAAACGAAAAGCTAGCCTAAACTTTTGTTGTGTTAATATAATAAAAAATAATAAACGCAATTTGCGTAGCGGTGTTCTTTGAGACAGAGGCAACAGCGCCCTCTGCTGTCAAAACACATTAATGTTACAGAATATGGCAACAGCTGTTAACACCTATTAAATAAAACAATATACATTTTTTTTGTTTATTAAATATTGAAATAAAAAATACCCGTACATATTGTTGTTCTGTATCCTTATTGTGCAAAAATCTTGATGCAGCACCTTTTTTCTCTCAATAATAATCTCATTTTTTTTCTCTCAAATGCTTCTCTCAATAATCCAAAGTTTTTGTTCTTTTTTTGTTTGTTTTTTTGTAAAAAAAAAAAATAATAATAATAATTAGATTTAATTTCAGTTGCATTTTTAACCACTCAAATACCTGACATTTATACTTAAATGCTTCATTTAGTTTTTTTCATTTTAATTCATTATATTTCAGGAGATTATACCTCCTTATAAAACAAAGATGCATCAGTTAGTTTTGTCAAACATGTATAAAAAATTAGAATTAAAAATAAACAAGATAACAAACATTTAAAAAAGAATGGGAAGAAGTAAAAACTTGTTTCCGTTCACTTCACTTCTTCTGTTTCCTTATTTTAAAGCTCGCAGTAATATTTAAAGGAAGACCAAACCAATAATCAGTAATAATAATTTTACCTCTCTTCTATAAATAAGTTATATAATAATTACCAAAAAATATAATTGCTATGCTACTTTTCCTGTTTAAATGTTTGCAGCCTGATTTTGACAGCGTGGTGGGTTTGTTGGCACGAGAGGCGACCAGAACAATCGGTGGCGTTTTCTCTCAGCTGATCGCCGAGAACGCCGCTTTGAAGACCCGAGTGGGACGGCTGGAGAGCGAGCTGAAGACCGCCACAGAGAGTCTGCAGAGGTCAAACCTGTGGAGGGAAAACGTCCTGAGCGGCTGCCCCGTGCTGTTCCAGGACAGCGGGCTGGTCTTCACCCTGAAGCCGCTCGGAAAGCTAACCATAAACTCCAACAGAGCCTCAGAGGGAGACCACCAGACCTCACCTGCTGCTGGCCAGGGACCAGGTGAGCAGACCCACCATCGACTTCAGGCAGAAAATAAATACAATTTAGATTAATAAAAGCTGTTGTTATTCTGCAAATAAATATTTTCATAAAATCTAGAAACTTTATTTTCATTCAGTTTTGTCACAAATAATCACTCTGAGCTGAACTCCAGCTGCTTTTTAACTGATTTCAGCTTTGACTAGTTTTATTTCTCATTCAGACGGTGGGGAGACATTGGACGAAGAGATTTTGTCTCCAGCAAATGAACAAGGTGAGAATCTCTTATGTTTTTGAAAATATTCAGTATCATTAGGGGTGTAAGAAAATATTGATACACTGAAATATCACGATATTTCATTTCCCGATACTGTATCGATATTCTAAAGCCCTGTATCGATTTTTTTATTAAGGTTTAAAATGTCAACTTTCCTGCCAACCGTTCATTTTTATGTTGTAGTTCAGCCTCTGACCACTAGTTGGCAGCAGTGAGCCAGCCATTTGGCTCCTCTACCTCTTGAGCGCCAGAGAGTAAGAGTAGCATTAGCATTGTAAGTAAACATTAGCTTTTCTTTTTTTTTTTTTCAGTAAAAGGTTTCTATTTAACAGAATTTTTGGACAAAAAAATCGCAATATGTTGCCTTGCTTACAGTATCGCAATATATCGGGATATATCGTATCGTGACCCCTCTGTCATGATATGTATCGTATCGCCAAATTCTTGCCAATACACAGCCCTAAGCATCATCCTACAGGAAATAAATCTGGGAACAGTTCTGCTGCAGCAGCATAGAAAACTGTGCAAAATTTTATTTAAATATTTTATCTTTCCTCCCCTCGTCCAGACTCGGCTCAGGATTTTGCCGTAACGAACGCCCCCGAGCTCCAAAACCCACCCGAATCTGTGGTCAGAACCGCGGGGAAAGTGTTTGTTTGTGAGGTTTGTGAGAAGACTTTTACCCGTCAGTTTCACCTGATGAAGCACATGAACGTCCACAGAGACCGGAGGCCGTTCGCCTGCGACCAGTGCCCCCGAAGATTCACCAACGCCCAAACCTTCGAGCTCCACCTGCTGCGACATGAAGAAAAGAAACAGGCGGCGTTTCCCTGCCGGCTCTGCGAGAAGACTTTCAGAACCAAAGCGTGCCTGAAGACCCACCAGCTGGTGCACTCGGACACGAGGCCGTTTGGCTGCTCCGCCTGCGGGAAGGCCTTCAAAACCAAACACAACCTGCAGGCTCACCGGGCCGTGCACCTGGTGGAGAAACCGCACAAGTGCTCAGAGTGCGGGGAGAGCTTCAGGAACACCATCAGCCTGCAGTGCCACCGGAGCGTCCACACCGGGGAGAACCCATACCGATGTCCTGTGTGTGGGAAAACCTTCACAGGGAGGAGGTCGCTGCGGACGCACCAGGCTGTCCACAGAGGGAAACTGTTTACCTGTGAGACCTGTGGAGCCGGCTTCACCCTCCGGCAGAACTTGAGGAGACACATCCGCATTCACACGGGAGAAAAACCGTTAGCCTGTAAGGTCTGCGGGAAGCGCTTCATGCAGGACAACAAGCTGAAAGCTCACATGCTTCTGCACGGAGCTACGAAGGCGTTCATGTGTGACCTCTGTGGAAAGACTTTTCTGTACAACTGCCAGCTGCAGAAACACCAGAGAGTTGCTCATGACGAGAAGAGGGGTTTCAGGAAGCGACCTCGAGAGCGAGCCGATCGCAGAGTCATCTACAGACGAGACAAAACGATCGTTAACGTGACGCCGTTCAGCTGCGGCAGCTGCCACAAAAGCTTCGACTCAGCAGCATCGCTGAAGAAACACGAGTTGATCCACACAGGTGACAGGAAGCACACCTGCAGCCAGTGCGGCAGGTCCTTCTTCTACAAGGCCACCTACCAATACCACCTCCGAATTCATTCGGGAGAACGGCCATTCGCCTGTGACGTCTGTGGAGAGCGGTTCATCATTCGTCAGGCGCTCGTGTCTCACAGCCTGCAGCACTCTGGAGAGAAACCGCACAAGTGTGAGCAGTGCGGAAAGACCTTCAGGATCTACACAAACTACCTACGACACCTGCGGATCCACACGGGGGAGAAGCCGTACGAGTGCGAGGTCTGCGGCGTTCGCTTCCGGCAGCTCGGACACGTGAAGTTTCACATGCAGGTGCACACGGGGGAGAGACCGCTCTCTTGCAGCAGCTGCGGACTCGGGTTCTCAGACTCCAGGCTGCTCAAGAAGCATAAATGCAACGAGTAGTACGAGAAAGCGTCAGGGAGCAAAGAGTCCTGAAATTATCAGGTCACCTGCAAAACACCAGAAAATCTGAACTGAACTGAGAGCAGAAGCTAAATGTTGAGATTTAATTTGACAAAATCTGCCTGAAAAGGGTTTACTTTGAATTGTAAAATAAGTATTTTTCTTACATCTTATTTGTTAATTTGTTTTGGTAAAATCTTGAAAACCAAATGAAATTTCAAAGTTTGTGTTGAGGATGACTCTCAGCTACCACCACATCGAACTTTAGCTCAGTAGCTGTAAAATTGACTGAGTTATTCCCATTTTTGTGTTTCCATCAGAGGTGGGTAAATTTACTTGAGTACTGTACTTAAGTACAGTTTTTGAGAATTTGTACTTTACTTGATTTTTATGAAAACAGTTTACTTTTTATACCACTACATTTCTCTCCAGAACCCCTGAAATACAGTATATCTCATTAATAGATCTTACTTACGTTTAAAGAATTTAATTTTATACTCTTTAAAACCATTTAAAAATATAAGTGTATTTTGCCTAAATTTAATTATAACTAATAATAATCTTAAAAATACCTAAAACTCCTTGAACAACAATAGTTTCAAACCAAACAAGTTTTATGTTGCAGTTTGTTCTCTGGCCAACAGAGAACAGTGTCAAAAAACACCATGCTGTAAAAACCAGGTCAATAACGGTCTACTGCTTCCACTCGTTAAAACAAAAGGAAATTATGGAAATAGCTTATTCTAAATCTGAAATAAAATCAGTTATTAAGAGAAAAATTAAGTCTGAATGGCAACAATTATGGGAGGAAGGAAATAAAGGTCGTCATTTATTTAATTTACAAAAGAAAGTAGGAAATATGGAAATAATTGGAAAAAAAACCCAAAAGAACAAGTATTAATGACAAGATTGAGGATTGGACATACCGGATTAAATAAAACATTACATTTGATAGGGAAACATCCAACAGGTAGTTGTGAGTGTGGTAGGGATATGGAAACAGTAGAACATGTAATAATTCATTGTGAAAAATATGCATCAAGTAGAGAGAAGCTAAAACGAGAAATTATGAAATATGATATAGAGACATTAAAATTAAATAAGATATTAAATAAACATAAAATAAATAAAGCAGTTATTTTTTTTTTTTGACGGAAACAGGATTATTTATGAGAATTTAGAGATACTCTGGTCCACACTCCAGTACAGTAGATGGCGATAATACATCTTAACGTTAGATGTCACCCGCCAATAAAAACCGAAGAAGAAGAAGAAGAAGTCTACTGCTTCCAGTGAACACTTTCACAATAAAACTAGGTCAATATGTCAGCGTTTTTTATCAAAACATTCTGAAAACACCCAATAACTACACAACGCGGTCTAAATTCTGAGCAGTTTTTTAATTAAAAGTAGTGTTTTTCTACATCAGTACAGTTTTTATATTGAGCGTAATCTAAAATCAGTGCTGAGTAGCGTTTTATTTTGAAACGCACGAACCCGGAAACATAATATGTGAACTGGAGCTTTGTTTTACACCAACCACAGTGTTTCTGAGCTAAAGTTGTCAAGTTCTAGTAATTAATAAATAAAGTGTTGAACCGTCAGAGCTGGACACCGAACCGTCAGCATGTCGGACCTGGAGGCGCAAGTTTGCGCCATTTTGAACATCATGGTGACGGAAACTGTGTCTGAAATGTCGAAAATCATCGGCGGTTCCGAGAAAACTGGAACCGAAGTGACTCTACCACCGTGTGGAACCGAAAACACACGAGAATCCCCGAACGAGAAGGTACGTTAATCCGTGTCGGTTCTGAGAGAAGAGTCCAAACTGCGGATCAAAGAACTAAAAAGAGCTAAAATGCAGCTGCAAGCTAAAAGTAAGTAAATGGTGGCTAAATATGTAAACACTAGCTTTAAGCCATGGCAAAAGGCTGTCTAAAAGAAGCAAATTACTAGCTAAAAGCCAAACACAAGTAGAAAATCTAAAATAACAAACACTAGCTAAAAGCTAAAAAATAATGACATGAGATAAAAGCTCAAGTTAAAGGCTAGTTACATCTAAAATTATCAAAAGTATAATTAACCACCAAGAAGCAGAAGCTAAAAATCAGTAGTGTAAAAACACTAATGTCAAGAGTAAAAAAAAAAAAAAAAAGAGTTAGCTATAATATATAAATAGCAAGAGGCTAACTGAAATCAGCAATCTGAATAGCTATAGTTTAAGGCCAAAAGATAAATTTATTCAAATGAGAGGTCAAATTAGTCCAAAGGCTAGTTAAACCTAAAATTACCTAAATGCTAGCATAAAGTAGCAAAGGTCTAGCTTGAAAACAGCAAAAGTTTAGTTTAAAGCTAAAAAAATATATATAAAAAACGACATTTATTGACATATTTGATGCATGCTAAAATTAGCAGAATGGTAGCTAAAAGCTAAGTATTGCTACAGCAGGCTTTAAAGAGGTTTTTTTTTTAAGAATAGCATATTTTCATTAAGATTTAATGTTCTTTTCACAACAAGCCTCGTTGCTGTTTTCAGCTCGTTTCTTTCAGCTGTCTGTCTGTTTCCTCAGCTGATGCAGTTCAGCTCCTTCATGATGGTCTTGGCTCAGGAAGTGTTGGTGAAGATCTGCCAGCTGTTCAGCGAGTGTTCATCTGCGCCGCGGCTGGAAGTAAACCTGAAACTGCTCGTCTGTTTCCTCTGATCTGGATTCACCCGGTTCAGATCCTGACTCTGACTTGGTTTTTCAGGGGGCAGCTGAGACGGAGGACCTGAAGGGGGTGGAGACAGAGCTGGTGCTGGGGGGCAGCGGAGGAGTCCAGGCGGAGGTGGAGGTTCTGACAGATGAGACGAGCGTCATGATGGACAGAGATGAAGCAGCTCAGAGTAACGATTCTTCAGAGAGGAAGAGCTGCAGAGGTGAGGAGCTCCTCTTTACTGGGATCAAACATTTAACTTCTCGAGATAACTCAAGCTTTTTGTGTTTCTTACAGCTGTGGCTTCTGTTGATCGTGGACTGAAGCGGTTTCCTGTAATTCACCTGTGGAGAGGCAGAATTTATCATGTAAAATTAAACTCATCACTATTTTTTGCTCCTTGTTCACCTAAAAAACCAACAAACCCTCCATCGTCTCCACGATAAAATGCATCTGAATATTTATCTGGAACACAGGAGGGCTCTGCTGACCAAACAGTGCCTGTCTAGGCCTCAAAATACTCTGCTGCTGTAACGTTTATAGGATTGATTTAATTACATCGGTACAAGATGAAAAAAATGATCCATATTGTCATCATATATGTTCACTGAACACAATTATTTATGTTAGAAGGGTAAATGTTATTGCATCATATTGATCGCAGACTTGTGAACTGAATCAAAATCATATCGTGAAAGATTTTGTGATAAAGAAATACTGTATTGTAATGAACTTACACCCTCTTATAACGAAGGTCATAAGGAAGTTATTTAGCAAGGCATCTTTTTTTATTTTCTGTGAATTTCTCCTTCGTGCTGAAGTGAATGAAACGACACAAAAAGTGACTTTCTCAGTGAGTTCCGATTTGATCCTTCAATTAATGCGGTCATTTATTTACACCATCAAACAAAATCACTACAGTACACTTATCTGTGAGCAGCACGCGTCCGAGCTTAACTGTTTATCAATCCAGCACTTAAAATGGAACAGCAAACATCAAGCTTTGGTCTTGAATACCAGACATTTGAAGGCCTTGTGTTTGACACATGTGCCCTACACCAGTGGTTCCCAAACTTTTTGTCTTCTGACCCACAAAATATTCATGGCAAAAACTTGTGACCCCAAATATTACTGGTCTGAGTACACGAACTTCATTAATAACCCTAAAAACACAGGCCTTTTGACGATCTAAACAGCTTGTACACAAATATAAATACTTATTTATACTTATTTTGTGTTTTTGTAATAATTATAGGGAAATATTACATCATCAATTATTTTATTACCCTTTAAATTGATTTCTGGAGATTATCCAAGGTGCTTCATGACCCATAATTGGGTCCCAAGCCCAACTTTGGGAACCAAAGTGCAGTGGTTCCCAAACTTTTCAGCTTTTGACCCACAAAATAACAGTAGCAGAGACCTGTGCCCACAACTATTTCTGGATGATAAATATTTGTATCAGGTCAACTAAACATGGGCATAGTAACAATATTTTTATACTACATTTATCCATTTTAAATACACTAACCTCACTCCTTTGTAACAACTAAGGTAAAAATGTAATTAATTCAGAAAATCTTTTCAGGACCCCACCTTGATGTTTCGGGACCCCACTTTGGGTCCCGACCCCAACTTTGGGAAACACTGCCCTACACTATATCACACTATAACATTTTAGACAACTTTGAATGTTTTTATGTCTAAATGACTAATTTTACTTAAGTACTGGTTATAACATCCACTTTATTTTGATATTGTTGAAAATTTGAGAAACGTTTTTGTCTGTGGTTGAAACCGTTTTGCAATTTATATAAAAAAAAATTTTTGTTCTTCTGGTATGTTCATTTGCACTGCAGCAAAAATGCTGGGTTTGATTATGGTTACAGTTTTCCACTAAATTAATGCTCTAAAAATTGCATTATCTTTACTTTTAATGATAATTTTCTACCACGATATATACCGTTACTGTGAAGAGATTCAATTTATTCCATGATTTGAATTTGAGGTCATACCACCTAGCCCTACGTATCGCGATAAATGTGTTGATTTACGCCCCTAATGTTTAAATGATTAATTTTTTTAGCTGAATTTGTCTCTTTATTGTGTCCCAGGACAGCCCGCAGCTCGTTGTAATAAAAGAAGAGGATCTGGAGGTCATCCAGGCCTCTTCTGGTCCTGATCAGTTTCAGGATGACTCCAACACTGGCAACGACGATGATGATGTCCCAGACTACAAGGTTGGACTCTTTCACTAATTGTATTTTTTAATTTGAATTTGCCTTTCATCTTGTAAAAACATCTACAGTCCCTAAAATCATTCATGTTGTTGGTTCTGAGTGAAGATAAAAATGAAGATTTTTATCTTGTTTCTGTGTTTTGCTGCCTAAACCTGTTAGGGGAGGAAAATTAAACAGTTATCGATTCTGATTTCTGTCAGGAGGAACCAGAAAGTCCAGCTGAGTGTGGCCCATTTCTCACCACCAAATCCACACTCCTCCCAAAGACCAGGCTGTGTGTCGTAGCAGAAACAGGAAGTCAAGTCCAGGAGGAGAAAACTCACCACGTCGTCCACAAGACCGAAGAAGAACAAACCTACGACTGCTCTCAGTGTGGAAAGAATTTTTATTACCAGCAGAGCCTCAAGAATCACATGTTGCTTCACACGGGCAAGTTTTTATTCCAAAGACATCTAGCAGCTAGAATCAGCTTTAACTTCAATTTAATATTTTAAATATTAGAATTCGCACAATCATCATTTCATTGTTTGTTTTTTTAACTTTAGGAGAAAGGCCACACGTCTGTGACGTCTGTGGGAAAGGTTTCACTCAGATGTCACTGATGAGAACCCACCGGCAGCTCCACGACAACGTGCGTCCACATGAGTGCGACCAGTGCGACAAAAGGTTTCATCAACCGTACCGTCTGAAGATGCATCAGAGGAGCCACACCGGGGAGCGCGGCTTCGACTGCTCGCACTGCAACAAAAGCTTCACCTCGGCGTGTAACCTGCGGCGCCACCTGCTCATACACACAGGGGAAAAACCCTACAAATGCGAGACATGTGGCAGAAGCTTCAACCAGAGGGACACTCTGAAGAGCCACCAGCGGACACACACCGGCGAGCGCCCCTACGTCTGCGAGGTCTGCGGCAAATCCTTCAGGCAGATAGGTGTCCTGAGGTCGCACCAAAGGAAGTGTCACTCGGAGCAGAACGTCCCCCAGCGGAGAGGCGACGGTGCGCGTCCCTTCACCTGCGAGATCTGCGGCAAATCCTTCACGAGTAAGGGATCCATGAGCCTGCACCAGAGGCTCTCTCACTCCAAGCGGGAGCTGCCCTGCGTCGTATGCGGCGCCGTGATGACGTCTGCCTCGTCTCTGCGCCAGCACCTCCAGACGCACGCACACACCTTTCCATGCACGTGCGTGAGCTGCGGCCAAGAGCTCCTTTCCATCACGGTGATGCGCCAGCACCAGCAGCAGCACACCGTGGACAGACCATACAGCTGCAGAACCTGCGGGAAGAGCTTCACTTCTCAAGGCTACCTGAAGATCCACCAGAGGATGCACAGCGGAGAGAAACCGTATGCCTGCAAGATCTGTGGTCGCAGGTTCTTGCATCAGTGCAGCCTTAAAAAACATGAGGTTGGTTTTTTTTTTTTTTAATTAAGACTCAGTCACAACAAATAAATCTGAAATTATCAGCTGGAGGGATTACAGATTTTAGTAACGTGTTAAAAAAAACTGAGCTTTTAGTTATTATTTTTATTAACCAATAGAAAAAAATTCAACTGCAATACCACAGTTCAACCCACAGAGGGAAGCACTAAGATAAATGTCACAAAAAATGTCAGTTTGCACAGAAATCCCTCCGCTATTAGATGCTATGGAGCTGGAAGGAATTTTGCTAACACCTATTTAGCTTTAGCAACAAGGTACTTTGTTATAACCGGGAGCAGCTGATTAACAACTCAAAAGCTCAACTACTATGAATCCCAGATTAGTTGAAAAGGAGGCGCCGTGGATGCAGAGTAGGAGCAAAGAGGAGAGAAGGAGGAAGTTCAAACCATCTCTTCCATCAATCATGAAGCCCAATGGGAGATCATGGGGAACAAGTTGGATGAACTCCAAGCTTTAACAAGAACCCAGCCAGAGCTTTCTGACCATATAATGAACAACCCCAAGTTTCCTCTTCATCAGACTGTCACACTACAACAGTGTCTTTAGTCAAGGCTTCATCAGATCCACTGTAAGATGGACCGCTACAGGAGATTCTTCCTGCCGTCAGTATCCGTAACAACTCTTAAAGGAACTCCGGCTGGGTTAAAAAAAATTAGTTTAATCTATCTGGATTGATTTTCGTTCAAATTTGGGAAAACCGATTCATAAGTCATGAGATCGATTTTTCCCCATGGGTGTTGTGTGCAACGAAGCTGCACGATTCCATGTTGTGTGTCACTCTTGGCTTGCCGTAGGTTTACATCCGGTTGACGTTTAGCGCTAACGTTAGCTCCCGACAACAAGTTGTCTGGGGCAAAACAAAAGAAACAAAGGAATCACTAACATTACCAGATAATTCTCAGCTGAACTTTATGAAAACAGAGGCCATGACAACTTTTGTTTGCAAAGATTTGTGCTCAGACGCAGTAGCAGGAAACAAAGCGGCCTTCAAGCAGCTCGTTCAGGTGCTCAAACCAAAACTACTGTATGTAAATATCTGACTGAAACAGTTCTCCTCAGCATGTATAAATTTTTTTTACTAATATTATTTTTAAATTTAAGAAACATCTTAATGTAATTCACAGTGATGGAGTGTTTTAGCTGAAGTACTCTTTTTTTTTTTCTTTCTTCTCGTTAATAAGTTTTATTGAACAGAAGCTCACAGAAACATTACAAATATACATTTTTCACACACTCAAAAGAGTATGCAGAACAATATACCACCTCTTCTCCTGTAACCTTATTCCATCACTTCTTAGTGATCAAGAAAATTATTCTTAGTTTCTTAGAAAAGTAATGTATCCAACAACACTTCCTCTTGCAATTCCTTTTTAGTTTAAACCCTTTGAAACTTGAGTCAGTTTTGTTTCAAGATTAAACTACAATTTACAAGTTTGCCCTTAATGTTTATAATTTAACAATGCACCAAGTTAGAATTAGTTTCTACTATTTGCATAATTATTTCCTTTGAGAATGTCTTCTATATCAAAATAATTGTGTTACTGCTTGATATCCTTAACTAATTTAAAAATCAATCAAACTGAATCGAGACTCGTCATGAATTGGGAATTGAATCGAATTGATTTGGGAAATCTGAATCGATACCCAACCCTGAAATGAACCAGGATATTATTAGTTACATTTAATTTCTTTTTGGGATTAATAAAGTACAATTGAAATTAAATCAAATATAACTAATACACTAAAAGCCCAATTTAGTTTATCTGAAAATAATTTTTTATTGTGGGGTTTAGTTACTTTTTAACCATATCTCAGTTTCATTCTTTCACACAGTGATGTCACAGCTTTTTGTCAACCAAAGAAAAAGGGCTGTAATTTGAATTTTATTTTATTTATTTATTTTTTGGCCTTTTCAAATGATCAGAAATATCACCTGACAGTTTTTGGAGTCGACCAAATTAAAGATGGCTGACACAGCTAATTAGCTGTGGCCAATTTAACAAAAAAGCCATTCTTCAGTCAGTTTTACAGATTATAAGCTAAAATTTGGCAGGTCAGTAACTGACAGCCATCCTCAACACACAAATGCTACCAGATCTGGTGAAATTGTGCAATGATTTCTAACAGTTATAACTGTTAGCGCCATGGGATCTTTGAAAATAATGTGTCAGTGTCTCATTTTGTTTTAACCACTTTTCTCATACCAAATAAGAGTGTTATAAGAACGTACCATATTTATTATTTAATATAAGCTTCACACAACTCGTAGCTGGATTTTATCATCACTCACATCTGATGCAAGTTTTATCTAACCGCTTGTCCTCCAACAGGTGGTCCATTCCGGAGCCAAACCATTCAAATGCAGCATCTGCGGGAAATGTTTTAACCACCCTGGCAACATGGCCAGACACCAGCGGATCCACACGGGAGAGAAGCCGTACAGCTGCAACACCTGTGGCTTTAGCTTCAACCAACGCAGCAGCCTGAAGGCCCACCAACAGACCCACACCGGCAAAAAACCGCACACGTGCGACAAATGTGGGAAGAGCTTCGCCTACCTGAGGAGCCTGAAGGAGCACAAGTGTGTCTATGTTGACGTTGTTGATTGAGTTTAAATCTTTTCTCCAAACAGAGTCACTGATTCGTCTTCAGCTCGTCTCGTGAGCCCTACAGGTGTATTTTAACACTTGGACAGGAAGGAAAACATTTAAAGCTACAGCCCCAAATGTACAGGTCTGAAATCCATAGATCAATAATAATTAATAAAAAAATGAACAAAATCTTCTTGTCTTCATTTTAAAAGTGTAGGCCTGTAGAATAAACCCAATTAAAGCAGAAACATGGGAGCGATTGCTGAGGAAGCTGGGTATTAGTGAGAACCAGATAATGGACATAACCACTTCTGATTCAAGTGAAATACTCGACTTCAGGGGTATGCTTTTTGGTCATTGGATTTTCATTTTAAAAACAGTGAAATATGGAAAAAAGGGATGATTCTTTTATTTTCAATTCATACTCTGGGTTTTGCACTGTCCTGAGGAGTTACAGAAATGTAAAGGTAGTTAGCGTTTATCATTTTTACCAGGCTAAAAGCACCAGAAGCTCCATAAAACAGTTTGAATCATCAAACTATCAGCTGACACCTGTTAAAGAAATGTCAAACTAGCTGATGTTAATTTATTGCAGCTGCCTGGTTAGGAAGTTAGAAAGTAAAGCCTGTTTCAGCAAAACAAAGATTTGTTTCACCAGATGTGTAAATATGCAGAATTTATTGTAATATTGTGGGTATGACTGTTACTATATTTTCATTAATGTTAATAATATAATAGTAGTATATCTTTATTTAGGGTCCCCATTAGTCTCTACCACAGCAGAGACTATTCTTCCTGGGGCCCAACAACAAAAAATACACATTAAAACAAAACACAATTCAGATAAACAACAAAATTAAAATCAAATTTAAAAAAAGGAGCCAGCTCAAAACCTCAAATAAAAAAAAACATGAAGATCACTAAAACTACTATCTGAAAACTCCTTCAAAAACCTACTGAGGACTCAGAGAAAATACGATAAAATCAATAATAAATTAATTGTACAACTTGAAAACTATCAATCTCATAATTGTGTGTGTGTGTGTGTGTGTGTGTGTGTGTGTGT